CAGTATGTGCACGCATCCTGCCATATTTTAAACGCTGAGATAACAAAACCCTAACATCCAAAGAACTTGACAGTATCTGACACAGGTACATTGGGCAGACAGAAGCTATTGCTAGTTTGTAGGTACCTCCATGGCCCCAAAGAGCCTCTGCTCCCAGAGCACAGTGACAAGCCCCTCACTTGCCTAGTCTGGTCTGTCACTGAGAACAAGTTCATGGCCAATTATATGGGCGACCCTATGTGATTCTTCCTCCATAAAATCAGCCCATTGCATATTTTCATGCCAGCCTCTCAGACAGGGTACAGTTTTTCTTTTCCCTTTTTAAGTTTTTTATGTTAATAAGCAGCACAATAAGAGGAAATCTGTTGAAAATATATTTTATAATTAAAAGGAACTAAATACTGGCACCTTGTTTTTAATTTTAAAAACAAAGGAAAGAAAGCAAGGGGCATCCTCAGGTTTAAATATCCAACTATTAGGTAGTTGCCACGCTTCAGAATCTTTCAAGTGCATGGGACAATCACGCAGAGCAGGGCCTGTGCCATGCTCACTGCACTTAGATCAGGGCTCGGAACTGACAGTCAACCTAGACAACTGTTCCAGGGACTCCTGAAAACTCATCAGCAATCACCCAAATGACTCATCATCAGACTTCTTTGAATAATTTCAAAAGGTGGCTGTTTCTGTGTAGTATGTGAGAAGAGCTAACCACTGTGGCACCCGCTGGCCTGAACAGTAACGAGCACAAATGCCCGTGTGCCATCCTCTGCTGGCTCTCAGGGGGCCCACGCCGCTGTAGCTCTTCAAGATGTGAAGGAGTCTGTCCTCAAAATGGAACCAAGGGGCCCATCCCTTGCTGGCTAAAGTCCTTCCCCTAATGCAGGGGCAGTGGCATCACTGTGCTTGGAGAGGTCCAACAGCCTGGCCTGCAGATGGGAGACATTCAGGCCATTCATTAGCATTTGAAAATGCTACAGCCTTAAAAAGAGGCCTACTGGTTACTCAACCACGGACCTGATATATGCTCCTTATGAAGCACAATCCAAATATAAAGCACAGACAACTGTTTAAAGCTGAGTTACAGAAACGAGGCGCATTTGCATATTGTCCACGTCGATAGCAAAAGAAACCATAACTTTACAGCTCCAGCCTGACTTAAAGAACCGTTACATGGTAGTGGGAACAAGGTTAGAGTAGCACATGCCCAGCGGGGGGGCTCATTACCCAAGAGTCACTGGTTTGATTCCTGGTCAGGGCACGAGCCGGGTTGCAGCCTGATCCCTAGTAGGAGGCGTGCAGGAGGCAGCTGACCGATGTTCCTCTCTCATCGGTTTCTCCCTCTCCCTTCCTCTCTAAAATAATCAATTAAAAAACAACAACGTATTAAAGTAGATGGGGCACGACCACCTGCATCAAACCCGCCATGCCGCCTGATGGATACGTGGCCTCGAGAGTCACTAAGCTCCTCGTCCTGTTTCCTCATCTGTGAAATGGGGACAACGAAGGTACCCACCTCGTGAGGATTAAATAAGGAACCTGGGCAAAGTACTTAGCACAGCGCCTGGCACACGGTAAGCTTGTAATGACCTTAGTGATTGTTGTACAACTTTCAAAGAGATGAATTCACAGGTCTGAAAGAACTCCTTTGAAAAATGGCTCAGAAATGTGGTCACCCTAGTCCTGGCTGTGGCCTCACACAGCACCAGACGCTCAGGAACTTCCCTCCCCTGTGAGATGGGGAGGTTGGACTAGACCAGTGGTTTGTGAACTGTGCTCCTTCAACGAGAACTGGGAGTGGGATGAAGGACGGAAGGGCTGCCGTTGTTTGTGCCACACTGACTCCACAGCTGAGAGGTCCCTCGGGAACAAGGCTTCGGTGGCTAACGCAAACCCGGGGACCCCTGGACGCAGAGCCACCCCGCCCCTCCCAGCCATGCTAGCCTGTCATTCAGTGAAAAGGGTAAACGCTGCAGCAAGTGAGAGCAGAGGCTGCACTGCTGAAGGAAAGCAGGAGACACAGGTGAGCTGAGGCGAGCTGCTGGCTGCATTCACTGAGAAAGAAACTATAATACTGTGTTTTGGACATCAAGTAAATTACTTTTGTCTTTGGGTAGGGTCACCTGGCCATTCCAGGTTATATGTTTTTGTTTTTTAAAAAAAATATTTTTATTGATTTTAGAGAGAGAGGAAAGGAGTAGGAGAAAGAAACATCAATGTGAGAGTAAAACATCAACCGCTGCCTCCTGCTTGCCCTCCACCAGGGATTGAGCTCGTAACCCAGGCATGTGCCCTGACCAGGGATTGAACCAGCAACCTTCCAGTGCCCGGATGACACCCAACTGAGCCACACCAGCCAGGGCATGGTTAACTGTTTTTTGATCTGGAAACAAGTCATTTAAAAAAGTCTACATTCCTTTAGCTCTGGCACGGAGTTAAGAAAGTGTACATCCATGTCTGTAAATATTTCTAAATGGCCGAGATCTCTGCCTGGGTCAGTGTCCAGGTCAAAGGTGTTTTCGTCCCACCATTCCTGTTACAGAGACCAGCACTCCTGTTGGCAGTTCAGAAAGTGGACTTTGGAAGTCCAGGGCACACTCATTGTCCCCGCCAGCAACGCACACAATGGCAGTGACACCATCAGAAGCCACAGGCTGCTCCTGCACATTTTTTAGTAGGATTGAATAAAAATAAATAGATGTTGAGCAACAGGCCTGACCCTCAATGCTCTCTGTCCTCTCTTCACAACACACTGAGGGGGTGAGGCCCCACACTCACCACCACCACGCTCTTGGATGCGTCCAGGACGTGGATCACAGGTGCACTGTACCTGGGGGCGATTTTAACTGCCGTGTGAGTCCTGAAAAGAGAGGTCAGAAGACAGACACATCCATCAGTGCTGATACCCCCACTGAGCTCCTGTTGGGAACTGTCAGAGGTAATGCGTGTCTACAGTGCTCTCCAGAGAAACATGTCAAGTTACCCCCACATTCTGAACTTCAAATTTCCCTTGTAAAACAAGAATGACTTTCTCCTGACCCTGAGATGGGGAAAAGAGAGGGATCTGCTGGTGCAGGCTCTAAAGAAGCCTGTGACAACAAGAAGGGCTCTGTCCTCAGCCCTCTGCCAGCAGGGATGGGTGCACGGCCTCGCACACATTAGCACTCTGTCTGAACTAAGCTGAGTTTCTTCCTCCAAGTAAGCTGTGGCCCCAGCCAGGGTGCTGGGAGCAGACACCAGGCAGGACACCCACACTCTGGGGCTGCACCACTGTGCCTGGCCCAACTCCACCTTGTACCTGTAGTAAGGAATCTCAGGCCCTAAGTAAATCCAACACAAATAACAGAGAGGCAAAAGCAACAAAAATATCTCGTAACATTGGCTCAGCCCCAAATCCTTACCATGGAGCAAACGCCCTTTAATTCTTAAAACTACCTAAGTAACTGCAGTGCAAAACAAACTGCCTATTGCTGAATGTTTAGGCGACAGCACAGGCTACATATATGCTATTTTGTTTAATATAGAACACAGTCAAGCAAGAACTGAAAATGCATCACCCTCTCTCACAGCCTTAAACAGGGCCCTGAAACTTGGCCTAATTGGTGGCAAGAGCAGGCCAGTAGGTAAGCAGTGCTCTCCCTTTTCTCCCCCTTCCCCCAAACCAGCAGCACTCCGCTCCAGGCAGATACTTCCATACTCTCCCCTCAACTAAAATATATTTTATTTGGAAAGATGTCTAGAATGTGTTAGTATGTGAGAAAAAAACAAACTAGCAGAACAGTATGTTTAATACAATTCTATTTTTTTTAAAAACAAACCAACCTTATATATATACATTTTTGTATATTTAGAAAAAACAGACAGGTAAACATCAAAATGTCAACACTGGTTACGTGGAGGTGAGAGGTGGGGCTGAAGGTGGGAAGGAAGATACTAAATTTTACTTTCATCCCTCTGAGTTGTTTGACATGTTCTAGTAAGTGTGGATCACTGAGGTGGTTTTTAAAAACCAAGGGAATGTTAAAGGTGCAATAGGTGTGTTTTTCATTGGCTTCTCAGGGAAGGCACTAAACATTCCTCCAAGACCAGCACCTGACCCCTTTGTAAGCGTAAGCGGTAAGCAAGGACGAAAGCAGTGAGCCACAATAACTGAGCTAAAAAGAGCAGGTGCAGGCCGGAGACGTCAGTGTGAGACGGGCAGATTGGGGCGCAGAGCAGCAGGGCACCTGACCACGACCCCCAGACCACCACTGTGTGAACTCCCTGCCCACTGTGTGCTCAAGGACCAAAGACTTCAAGACACCTATGTATCCGCGAGGGGAGACCTTCAAACAGCAGAAGGTGTTAGAAAGAAGGAGCCGCTTCCATCTCAGAGCAGAGCACAGTCAGATCTGCTTGCTTCCCCCTCCAGTCAGCCAGCTCCATGAACTCACAGAGCCTCAGCATAGGCTCTTCATGCGGGGCCTCCAGGAAGGGCTCCTTTAGGCCTGATGTACTCAGATGACATTTCTCTTCAAGAGAATCAGTACAATTTTAAGTCAACATGATTAATATTTATGAAGCATCCAAGGGCCCTCAGTGCAGCTCTGGCCGTTCTCTCGTTGAGGATCCCCAGGCCAGGGCCCCGAGAAGCAAGGACGGGTTCCACTACTTAAATAAGAAAATAAAAAGCACAGCGCTGCTTTCCAACATAAAACTGACAAAGCCAGGTGAGCACAGGCATGAAATTTGAGCCTGCTCGGCCAGCAAGTGTTTTGGTTTCCTGATAAAACAGGAAGACACTGCTCCCTCCTCCTTCGTTTTTTGGTTAATCCTCACCGGAGGATGTTTTTCCACTGAAATCTTTCTTTCAGGGAGAGAGAGGGAGGAACAGAGTGGGAGGGAGGGGCAGAGAGAGAAACATCCAGGTGACAGAGGCACATCGGCTGGCTGCCCTGCACGTGCCCAACAGGGCTGGGGAATGAACCTGCAGCCAGGTATGTGCCCTTGACCAGAACTGAAGCCATGTCCCTTCGGTTTGCAGGCTGACGCTCTAACCACAGAGCCCCGCCGGGCAGGGAGACACCGCTTCCCCTGAGCTGCCATTCGTGCTGGCTTGTCCAGCTGGATAAGAGCTCCATCCTGGAGTCTGAAAAATGACAAGGCCCTGGGATCTCTCCGCTGCTTCCCACACACCAAGAGCAAGGAACTAGTTGCTGAGGCTCACTAGGAAGCCCATCTCTGCTAAGTCCCCCATCAGCTCTTCGGATTTAAGTGCTCATCTCCTATAATTGCCACATAAGCCTTAGTAGTAACGCCTTCTAAGGCGTTAACCTTAGAAGATCTTCAAATCTGAAGGAAAAAAAACAAGCGCTCCAAACATTTATTTCAGGTCATATCCTGTCCCAGAATTAACCTAGTGTTTTGCATAAATGCAGCATGACCAAACCTAAAATGTAATGAGAAAAATGAGAGATGGGAAAATAAAGCTGCAACCAGGAGTAAACCCAGCATATAAAATTCATCCCGTGGAATCTTGTACACAGGCCTGAGCTTAAACTCCCCTGCTGTGTCAGTACCCTTACTTCTTAACAGTTTAAAAAAAAAGTCAGCAAGTTACCTCCAGCTTTGAGTGATGGGACCGCATCAAATTCTTCATTACTCACACAATAAAGAAGATACTTTACAGCAACGGCTTTAAAACAGCTAAAAACTGAGAGCTAACTGCCAGACTTGTGCCCTAGAGAAGTTGTGCGGATGACAGGACCAGATTTCCATGAAGTCATTTCTAGTCTGTGATACCCAAAGCACCTATGTTATACACAGGAGAACATTCGGTTTTCTGTTCTCTCACAGCTACAGGTTAAAAAGGGACACTCCAAGCATATTTCCACCATAAGTCTGTACAATCCTTTTGACCTCTCCAAGGATCCACCCATTAGACAGCCTTAAGCCTCATTCTGAGTGTCTTGGGGAGACAGTTCTAAATCTACTGCAGGCCACTGAGGTCTGGAAAAGCCATGCTATGGCCCCTCAGAGGTCTGTTCTCATGACATCCTGGATGTCCTGACCTGCCACCTGCAGAGGAAAGATCTGGAACACTGCTGGGTCCCCAGTAGACCTGTAGGAGGTAATAACAAGGAGCTTAGGGGGCTTCTGAGGCATTCAAACTCCTGAAAGCTTTCTAGCAAGGCTGTCTCTGCTAGTAGAGAGATTTCTTACACAGATGCAAAAAGCACGAATCATAAAGCAGGAGACTGACAAAACAGACGTCATAAAAATTAAAACTTCTGTTACCCAAAAATACCACTAAGCAGCAAAAGCAAGCCATATTGAAAGAATTTATTTGCCCAGCTGGCGTGGCTCAGTGGTTGAACATCGACCTATGAACTAGGAAGGTCACGGTTCCATTCTCAGTCAGGGCACATGCCGGGGTTGTGGACTCGGTCCCCAGCAGGGGGCATGCAGGAGGCAGCCGATCAATGACTCTCTCATCGTTGATGTTTCTCTCTCTCTCTCTCTCCCTTCCTCTCTCTGAAATCAATAAAAATATATTTTAAAAAAAGAATCTATTTGTAAAATGTATTTTTTTTTTTTTAATATATCTTCATTGATTTCAGAGAAAGGAAAGAAGAGGGAGAGAGAGAGAAACATCAATGAGGAAAGAGTCATTGATCAGCTGCAGCCCACAACCCAGGCATGTGCCCTGACCAGGAATCGAACCCCGATCGCCTGGATCCTAGATCGACGCTCAACCACTGAGCCACGCCCGGCCAGGCTGTAAAATGCATTTCTCATAAGGCACTTATATATAATATTAGTAGCGAGTGCATGCGAATCATTAAGAAAAAAGGCAGAATACCCAACTTAAAGAGCACATCCAGATGTCAATGACACATGAAAGGCACCCAGCATCCGTCAGCAGGGAGTAAAAGTGGAACCACATCTACTACATACACATGAAAATGCACGAAGTGGAAATCTCATATCTGCTGGTTGGATGTATGAATTAACACAACCACTGTGGAAAGCACCTAGCAGTACATGATGCAGACAGCCACACGTGGATCTTATGATCCAGTAAGTTTGCTTCAGGACAGAAACACAGACATGGCAGCATTCTGTGTAATAGCCCCTAACTGTAAAAACCAGCAGTGTCCACCAACAGCAGCGTGGATATAAAGAAACCATAGTCTGTTATACGACGGAACACTTCACCACAGCAGGGAAAGGCGACTACTGTAATGACGAGTCTGGGCCTCAGACAGCATGCTGAGCAGCAGCGGACACAGAAGGGCGCACGCAACAGGACCAGAGCTGGAAGGCAGGTGAAGCCAGCCCGTTGTGACAGAACAGTGGTCACTGCCACTGGGAAGGGACCCAGTGAAGTTCCCGGCGCCATTAATGTTATACTTCTTAATCTGGGCTGATTACAGGGGTGGATTCATTTTTATAAAAATTACTCAGGCTGTGTGTGCTTTTTGGTATGACTGGTAGACCTCAGTGAGTGCTCCCTTAAATAAAAGGGCTTGCTGAGTGAGACTCCAGGTCCGAGACACCCACTGTCACTACTTTTGAATGGAGTCAGTACTGGGAATTTACAATGAAGTTTTCTTGGAGGTTGCAGGAGAGTCTATTTTTCAAAGGCTGAGCGAACACCACAATGGAGAAGGGGATGGTTCCTGGAAGGACTGCGATTGGCTTTTATTTTCCAGAAACTGCAACAGGCATGGAAGAGAATAGAACCAGAAAGGGCAGAGCTCATGCAGAGACAAAGCACCACAGAGCTGGAAGAAACCTGCAGGGTCCCAGGTCCCAGCTGTCTGCCTTCAAGTAGGAACACAGTCACAGTCCCCCAGACAATACAAACAGCGATTCGCAATAGTATGGAGACGGTGGGTGATTTCTGATTTGATCTATCAGGTTAGAGTTGTTAAGAGTCATTTATGGCTAATTTTGCCAATGATATATTTTGAGAGGCTAGCCATGCTGCTTCTGAATGTGTTTTTTAAAAACCTCTTTAACTGATGAATCTCACTTGGTAAGAGATATAAAAGAATGGACTATTTGGAAATGTTCCAATTTGCACAAGTAGCAATGTGGTTTCCTAATCTTGGAATTCTGAGTGTAGTGTCCTACCATATAAAATAGTTCTCACTTTGAAACCAGCATCACATTTACATAACTCATAATGCATTTCATTACATCTGCTCATTTATTTTTTTATTTTACAACCATGGTTTTAAAAGGTATTTCATTCTGACAATAATCTATAAATTCTGTTACCATTCTCTTTACTAAGCTAATAAATAGTCACAGCATTAGTTTTCCAAGACCATGCTCAGCAAAAACCCAGTCATCAGTGGTCGGTCACATCCCTGGAGAACACCTGCCACATGTCCTAGAGGATAAGTCCTTCGTGAAAAAATAAGCCCTGTTTCTAATGTGCAGAGCAATAGTCACACTATTGAGTCCTCAAGTACGGAAAGCGATCACTGAATAAATGACATATAACACTCAAGATTACCTTCCACAATGTGGGTGGGACTCATCCAGTCAGTTAAAGACTGTAAGAGAAAAGACCGAGGTGCCCAAAGAAGGACATCTGCCTCCAGATGCCTTTGGACTTAATGCTGGCACATCAGCTCCTGCCTGGTCTTCAGCCCCCACCTTCCCTGAAGATTTCACACTTAGCAGCTCCCATAATCTCATGAGCCAATTCCTAAAATCAATCCCTCTCCCTCTATGTGTGTGAGTGTGTTTTTCTCTGGAGAACCCTGGCTAATGCAAATGACTTAACATGCAGTTGTTTCCAGTGCAAAAGGAAGTCTGGAGTATGTATCTCTGACCAGGACTCTAGTATATTTTTGTATCAGAAAAATAAACTGCATGCTTTGTGGGATTGTCAAGTTCAATGCTCCACTGGGCATTATTCCCTGACAAAGTGAATGTATGGGGCATAATGAAGTGTCATTAAAAGTCTAATACACATAATTAACACATTTCTCACGAAATATCATTATGATCATGACCCAGGTAAAATCTGATAACCTGAATAATGATCATGTGACCAAATCTGAACTTCCTCCTATTTAAGTTGTTTAACCCAAGCTTTCCCCCTTTCAAAAACAACTTTCCAAAGTAAGGCCTTGGTTCATTCTCGCTTTCTGTCTCAACTATCACAAGGTTGGAGTTTCATCGAGGGAACCTGTAATTATTCAGACACCTGCTTCATGACAGAGTGGCTGAAGTTCAAGCCACGTCTTTGTTATAAAACACAGCTTCTCCACTTAGTTTGATTCTGAGAGGAGTAAGCGTTCATTACAAATCTCAGGAACTGAATGGCAGGTGAGCGGGTTGAGAAAAGGACTACTACAGCTAAAGGACTCCAAAGAAAGGCAAAGGGCCTTTTGCAGCGTCCAAAAGTGTCCTGGCAGGAAGTGCACGTGCTTACACATGAGGAGACAATGTATCAGGACACACTGAGAAAAACAACCCAGGTCTATCACCGTCTTCAAACACTGGCACTTCTAGAATGTGCAGAGAAGCACCAAGTTCCTGAGCAGACTTACCGCGAAGTAGTTGCCCCTCCAATCAACAACGGGATCTTTATGGCCAGTCTCTCCATTTCCTTGGCAACAAATATCATTTCATCCAGGGAAGGAGTGATGAGTCCCGACAGGCCAATTATGTCTATTATTTAAAAAAAGAAAAAAAGTGCAAATCAGAAGGGTGACAGAAAAGGGGGAAAAGCATGAAGACTCATTTAAAAACTTTTGCAATAAAGACCATGAGATGTAATATGAGTTCCCCATTTCTAATTCTAAGACACCTGTTCTAAGTGGGGGTTTCGAGTTATTGTTTGCTTGAGTAGTAAATATGGTGTGTGAGTTAGAGTTGCAATGTGCTCCCACAGTATTGGTGATAGAATATACTATTTGCTGTGACGTCCCAGACTAGACGTGTCACACAGTGTGAAGAGAACAGTCATGCAGAGAACACGGTCTAATACATACCATTCTCCTAAGAAGGCTGTCCCATTCCCCACCTTCAGAGCTACACAGGGGCTCCACGCTCCCTATTCACCTCTCCAACCCCCATTATAAATGGCACTGAAAGCAGCCCCTTCGTAGGAGCTGGCACCTCACTGTCTGAACGTCCCACTGGTCCCACCTGTGTTGAGGCAAACTAGTCAGACAGACACTGAGGGAAACACCCAGAAGCCCAGTTGCATGGTACCTGCTTTGTGGTCCAGAGCTGCTTTCAGGATCTTATCACAGGGAGTCATGACTCCTAGGTCAATAACTCTGAGGGACAGAAACGGGACAGGAGAAAATTAGAGAATGCATTAGCAACAAGGCTGAAATTAACAGTTTTATTTAGCCATCAAACACTGCACTGATGTAAACTGGAATCCCACTGAAATGCTCACTAAATACCGACAACACAGTACAACGACCAGTTATTGAGCATTTAACTGTATGCCAGGCACTATGCTAAGCTTTTATAAGCAGCTTTACTGATATGTAATTCACATAGCATAAAATGAGCCCATTGAAAGTATAGAGTTCAATAGCTTTTGGGATATTACAAATATATAATATTTACAATTTGCCCTTTTAACCATTTTTAAGTAAACAATTCAGTGGCAAATCCTGAACTAGCTGGCCCTGGGGAGGTCTGGCTGAGGGAAAGGATCTGAAGCTTGGAGAGGAAAGTGTGGGTCCCACACCCACTGCGCTGTCTGGGCTGCGGCGATTCTGCCCGCCACCCTTCCCACTTTCTCTCACCTCCACTACAACTTCCTGCCTCCCCACATACAGCTCCATCTCCCCTGGTTTCCCTTTTCACTTTGAGCTATACCCCATGTCTGTTGTCTGTAGGCCTTTTCTTACACATAGGCCTACATTTTGCCACGTGAGAAGTTAAAGAGAATAAAAATGAATGTTATCAAAAAGTGTTGATTTTACAATCATCTTTCTAAAGTGCTTATTTATAACAGAGCTGTAATGACAAGCATTTAATTTGGGCTAATTCAGAAAAACAATGTAAGCTGCACTAAAGGCTTCAGCAAAGGCATCCAATACTATTTAAAAATACATACAATTTAGAAAATAAATATTATTATAAGGTCCCTTTTCCTCTCCAGAAGGAATAGTGGCTACCAGGGGCTGGAGAGTGGTGAAGATAGTGAGATGTTCATCAAAGGTATAAACTTCCACGTAGCAGATGAGTGAATTCTGGTGATTAATTCACAGCACTGTGAGTACAGCTAACAATACTGTATGACATACTTGAAAGTGTTAAGAGAGTATATCTTAAATGTCCTCAATAGAAAAAGACATGGGAATGATGTGACATGATGGAGGTATTAGCTAACACTATTATCACAATATATAAGTGCATCGAATCGACACCTTGTACACCTTAATTGCGCAATGTTATATGTCAATTGTATCTCAGTAACAATAGAAAACTATATCTATATAATACATAATATACATATGTATACACACACTCACATATATTAAGCTGATAGCCTCTGAGTAACTATCAAGTGAGCACGTGAGCATGTGAGGTGTGTAGGAGAGGCTGGACCAGTGCGCCCTTGACTCAGATACAGTCATTTTCCTCACTCAGCTAAACACAGTAACATGATGATACAGTTTCAAAGCATTTCATTCTTAGCTCTATCTTGCTTACTTTTTACCCATACTAGGCAGTTATATTAAGAACCACTACTTAAACTATAAACATGCCTCATTATTTTAAAGTGCCAGATGTACAATATCTAATTTTAAAATTTCTGTTGATATATACTACTTTTTCTTACACAAGAGTGTGCATTATCTGTTAAATGGAAAGAGGTCCCATTTATCTTTATACAATTATTATTAAAGTATATCTGAAATCTACTTTTGTGTAATCAAATATCTGATCAATAAAATATTCTAAATAACTTAAGAGGAATTTAACTAGAATATTAATATTAGACATTACAATTTAAGTAATTTAACTTTATAATTGAAATAAATCTTAGAAGGTAAATGGACACAGCAGTCTTGACTTTTGGAATCAGAAGCCCTGCGTAAGGTCTGCCATGTGCTGAGTGCCCATGAAGAAATCACTTAACTTCACGAAGCCTCAGTTTTCTCATGTGTTAAATGAGAGATACAATAACTGAGGCACACAGAGCAGGATCAAAACCATTAAAAACAAAAGAAAGGATGAAATAAATTTTTAAAAAATCAGTAAAAGAAAAAAAAAATTCTATAAAAGCTCTATATAAACTGTGAAGCTGTCAACAAACATTAGTAGTACTAGATTCTAGGTAAATACATCCTTAGGTCTACTCAAATTCTCAAACTGTACTGCACAGGTAAACGACAACATAATTGGAGCCCCTTTAAAAGGGAGCCCGAGCTGCCAGCACGAAGGAGCCGCCTTGCACGACTTAGGCCTCAAACCTTTGGAAAGTTAAAACGTCAAAATAACCTCTGGACTGGGCCTAAGGAACTTTGTTTCCCAAAGAACTGTTTGCGAGTGTAATAAAAAAACAGATATTCTGACTACTGGACTAATGATTCCTAAACTAGAAATTAAAAACGTGTCTAGAATTACGGTCACTGTGCTACCTGCACCAACAGAAATGCCTCCCTTCTATGGATGTAACTGTTCCCCATCCTCATAGATTCCCTTTGTGTTTGTCTCCAGATTGGAGTTATTTGGGCTTCTGCCTAAATTAAGGATTCCAGAATAGCTCTTCTTTTTTATCTCAATAAATGCCTGCTGCTTCTCACTTTGAAAGGCTTTTCTATTATGAGGCTAGTGGCACATCACAGGCTCTGCTGCATCATCCCATGGAAAACGTGTTTCTGTTCAGACGGCACTATCGCTTTTAGTCCCCTTTACATGTTCCCCACAAAGAAAACACTTTATCATTTCATGAGATTCACTGCACCAGGGACAGAAACCAGGAACGAGAAAGGCTCACTGGGCTTGGTCCTGGGTGGTTAGCTAGACTCACTCACTAGCTCAGTGATTCGCCCAAGCACCCAACCTAGAACATCGATGCTCAGAATACACTTAACTACACAAGGCCCGTCTCCAGGACACTTGTCCACTAGCTGATGCTACAAAACCAAACTCACCAACACCAGGAGTCCACTGTTCTAAGACACAAAACCCAAAAGGGTTTCTGACCTGACAGAGTTTGCACATTCCCTCATATTTTTGCAAAAGAAAGAATTAGAGTTTCATCAGCAGATGTTTCTCCAGTTGACTTACTAGCAAAGAGAAGCAGACCTTCCATGCACGAGATGGAGGGGCTGGACATGCTGGAGAAAGCCAGGGTTTAACAAGCAGGCTTTTACAGCTGCTGACACCCCTCCACCCCCCGCCGAGAAACACTGAGCTCTTAGCTCTTCCCTGGCCTCTTAAAATACCATTACTGGAGGAAAATATTCCTAGTATGAGTCTCTCAGCTACTTATTCATTGTTCAAAGTAAAAAATGATAAACATAGAACAATGATATCTCAAGAATGCTATAAAGTATACCTACAAAGTCACCTTTTCAACAGTTCTTGTCCCATTATCACAGTTGCATATGTACCTGGCTATTTAGCCTGATAAACAGTAAACTCCTTGAATGTCAACAAAATCATTTTGGTGTCTCAAGTACAATGCATGGCACATAGCAGATTATCTACAAGCATTTTTAATTAGCTGAACTGAATTTTAACTAATTGTGATAAAATCACATCGAAACCAAAGAGCAGAAATTTCTTGTAGATTTTAGGAGGCAAACACCTTATCCAAATACTTATTCTATAGGCAAAATCTCATTACAACAACCCCCACTGGCTCTCCAATAAGTTTCTCTCTTAAAAATATATAAATACATTCCCAGGAAAGTTCCTCATTTCCAGGACCAGGAGAAAAGGTGTCTTGACAGTAAGTAAGCAGGCAAACAGAAGTACTTGTGAGGACAGAGGGGAAAGGAGCCGTCCTGACATGGCTCCCCCACCTCCAGCCTTCCCGAGTGGTTCTTAGCTGCATTTAATCAGCCTTGAATGCAGAGGTGGAGAAACGTGTTGAGAGGAGAGAGGGGGCATTGAGGATAACTGTCACTGACAGCAGAAGAGAACTCCACAGGCCCAGCTGCCACTGCAGCAAGTCCCTCTCCTCTAGAGAGAACAGCACATTGGAAAGAAGCCCATGACTTAGAAGGACAGTTGGCTGGACACGGACCAGAGAAAGCATTAGTTAGTTACGTTAGGCTTTTGATTATAAAGAATATGTTGAAATTGGAGCAAAACATACACTTACTAAAGGTCATCAGCTCTCACAAGGAAATAACTTTGTGCTGAATATTTATTCACTATAATGAGATATGTCAGAAAGGGATTTTACTTGTATACATTCCACAATCTAGCTTCATCACCAAGAAGCATGCATGGCCCTGTCTAAGCAAAGGAAAAAGAACTGTACAGTCAGAACCTTCTTATAAAACTCTGTTTAGCCTGTCTTGTAAGATCTTGGCTCTGAAGCACAGCGGTTCACTGAGAGGGAAAAGGAAACATGCCACGTGCCACGTGCCACGTGCCACGCACAGGAGGCCAGTGTTCTGGTTACCAGAGCCTCTGGCCCAACGTCAATTCTCAGGAAGCCTCTTGGCTGTTTTGACCCTGCTTGAGTAGTTTTTACTTCTCTTTTTGTCTTTACTGAACATACAACAGATAATTACTAACTTATATCATTTGAAAAGGTGTGTTCACAGTAGAAAATTTGAAAACACAGTAAAAAAAAAAAAGGCATTAAAATAGCCTCTATCATCCACTGCCATGCCCTCCCACCCACTAAAGAAGTATCCTGTTAACGCTTTTACTTACAAAGAAAGTGGCTGAAAGCAGTGGGACTTAACTTACCTAAAATTGTTGCAGCTGAGAACTACCCCAACTATGTTCTTGCCTATGTCATGCACGTCGCCTTTAACAGTGGCCAGCACAACGGTGCCTTGGTAATGTGTCTGTGGGGCAAGATAAGTGCTGTGGTCACTTCATGGCAGATCACCTAGTTCCCCAGAGCCCGACTCTTTAATCCTGACCCAAGGATGTGCTCAGAGGAGGAAGGGGGAAAGAGAGAGAGAAACACTGATCATCTACCCTCTGTATGCTCCCTGACTGGGAACCAAACCCGCAACCCAGGCATGCGCCCTGACCAGGAAATGAACCAGCAACCTTTCGGTGCACTGGATGACGCCCAACCGACTGAGCCACTCTGGCTGGGCCAGAAAGCAATTTAATAGAACTAAGAAAACCTCAAAGACAGACCCAGAACCCAAGTCATGTGCTCTGCAGGTAGGTAGCTGTAAGGCTGAGCAGTTCAAAGGTGGCTTACGTGGTTGGTAACCTCAGTGAGCTTCAACCAAGATCATGGGTTCCATCACCTCAAAGAGCAGTTTAGGTCCAAATACAAAACAGCCCCATAGCTGAAGGCCATATCCTTAACTCCTAAACTATCGGACAATTTTTATTTTTTTGTTTATTCTTACCGAGGATACTTTTCCCATTGATTTTTAGAGAGAGTGGAAGGGAGGGATGGGGATACAGATTCAAGAGAGACACAGTGATTGGGTGTCTCCAACATGTGCCCCAACTGGGGCCAGGGATCAAACCTATAACCCAGGCACACACCCTTGTCCGAGAATCGAACCTGCGACCTTTTGGTGCATAGGATGGTTGCACCAGCTGAGCCACCCGCCCTGGGCAAAGATCACCTCTCCACTTTACCTCCAATAACAAACAAGCCGAGCCCCACAGTCCCTACTCCACTCTAGTAAGGCCCCGAGGCCAGTTCCTCACACGGACCAGGCTGGGCGAAGGACTTGCCTCTTCTTCCACTGCACCAGTGAGCCCCTGAGCTTCTTTCCTTTCTTCCTCCATGAAGGGGGTGAGGTGGCCCACAGCCTTCTTCATGACCCGAGCTGACTTTATGACCTGGGAACAGCACAGTCAGGATCTCTATGAAACCACCTGAATGGCCACTTGTGAACTGTTAGCTGAATTAAGGATGCACGCTTTGACCTCAGCTCAGCCACACTGGAGCCCACTTTTGACAGTGGGCAGGGTACACAATGTGTCTGTGGGGAGAGTCCATGAATGAGCTATCGCAGGAGGAAAATGCCTGTCCTCTGAACTTCTGCGCGTTATCTTGTCTCACCTCGAAGGCCCTCCATCGGTTCTCCAAGTTCAAGCTTCTCTACCATGAGCCTCTCTTAGCCTTCTCTTCTCAATCCCCAGTGTTGCAATTCACTTATAATTAAGGCTAATGCTTAAGCAAGAACAGGGCCTTTTACAAAACCCATCAACGTGCGCTGTAACCCATGGGTGGAAGTACCATAAGAAACAGGGTATTTGCAGTGTCTGAGTTTCTCCCCACCAGTAAGTTTAGAGTGAAGAAACCTAGCAGATGCCATTCACCAAATGATCCAAGTTAGCATCGGCAGTAACGAGCCAGCATCATCATGGGCCTCCTGCCGTGACCCACCGAGAAGGGCATGGCATCACTCTGCTACTCTTGCCAAAAATGAGAAAATTTCAGACAAACTCAAATTGAGGGACAGTCTCTATAATAACTATACTGGACTCTTCAAAGTCAAGATCACAGAAGAACTGTCAGAGAAGGCAGGATAAAAGCAAAGCAGGGTCCTGGAAAAAAAAGGAAACAGTTGTGGAAAACTGGCAAACTCTGATGAGGCCTTTATTTAATAGCACCACACCAATGTCAATTTCTGGTTCTGGTAACTGTACTATGGTCAAGCAAAAATGTTAACATTAGGAGAAGTTGGGTGAAAAATATACAGGCAACTTGTCTGTACATCTAAAGTGAACTCAAAAGTGAAAATTTAAAATAAGTCAACATGTTGGAAAACAAAGCCTGAGGACCGGGTGCTGATTATGTCCCTCATCCTGAGAGAGTGAGAGAGTGTGTGGGTGGTGGTGCTGCACATGCTCAATTACCCAACCGTGTCCTTATAAATGTGCAGTGTAGTATGTTAATTATAAGACAATGAACCTGTTTTAAAAAAGGATGAATATTATAAAGAAAAATGGGCAATTAACAGTAAAGAGTAAGTAATTTAAAAAAAGAGAACAGGGCCTTTTAGTTTTTTGTAGGCCTCATGCCCCAAACCCAGGCAGCTCAACCAGTAGTTGTCTCCTGATGTGGTTAGTAGCTGCTGTAAATCAAAATGAGGGTTCTGGTTTTACTCGAAACATATTTAACGTATATCACTATTCAAAATGGTAACGGTTTTTTCAAAATATGTGTCCCAAAAGATGAATTTTGGTTCATCAAATAAAATGTTACTATTATTAACTTCACACTAATCTTGGGTTTTATTTTAACGTGAGGGGGCGGGTAGACAGTTCCTGGGGTAAGAAGTGGTACAGAACAGACATGAAGATGAGGAGCTAAGAACTGCAGATGATGTCTACCCTCAACACCACCCAAAATACGAATTTTTGTTGACATTACTCCTAAATACATTTAGAGAAAGAACGGACCAGATCTCAATGCCCCTGAGCTCTTATCAAAATTAAAACCTGAGAAATATATGCAAACACATTTATTAAAAAACAGACTTTTTCTTTCAACTGTGAAAATTTCCCCCCATCTTTTGCAAACCTGAGGCAGAAACATTTTTCCAGCTCCAAAAAGATCACCAACGACTTTCATGCCATTCATCAGAGGCCCTTCAATTATATTCAGAGGCCGGGGATATTTTTCCTGGTTTAACCTGGCTTCCTCCGTATCCTCAATAATATGTTTTTCAATGCCCTACACAAAAATTAGGGGGAAAAAAAAAATCACATAAAACAGTGGCTTAAATCCAAACAACCGTTTGATTACGGAAATGCTCAGAGTACAGGTTTTCAACCAGATTGCATGGTTCAGATCCTGGATCCTGACACCAGTTTCCTAAATCACAATATCACTAGTCCCTGCCTCAAAGAGTTACGCTGAGGATTAAATGAGACACTGCCATAGGGTGCTTAGGGCTTTACTGATAGTAAGTCCTCAGGAAAAGCGAGCTATGAGTGAAAGAAGGAGCATTAGTAAGTAGAGTTCAAATTCATAATGAAATACACTTTTGATTCTAGCAGATTAACAGGTTATATACATTAATAAATATCTCCTGTGAAATCAGCACTTCTCTCTGCAACACAAAGGGCGGGGGAGGAAAGACAATGGCAGGTCCCACTGACTCATACAGCCAGTGACCAAGCCCTGTCCTCTGGCACCCAATTCAAGGACCCGTGGCTGTGGCTGACTAGTTCCACAACCTGAAATATGTGAATCTGGAGGAGTTAAAAGTAAAATTCCAGAGAGAAAAAACACACAAAAAAACACCAAACACCTCCGAAATTCCTCACAAATGAGGAAACTAAAGCTGGGAGACTGATTACCTTGCCTAGTATTATAATTATCAGCAAAAGAGCCAGGAATTGTTTTTTGATAGAAAGATAGCAACTTGGTCTGGGATAGTATTTCTCAAGCTTGGCACTACTGACATTTTGGGCTGAACAATTCTGTTATGTGGGCCTGTCCTATGCACTGTACAATATTTAGCAGCATCCCTAGCCACTGGATCCAGTGACACCTCCGACCCCAGTTGTGACAACCGAAAGTGTCTCTGGTCACTGCCAAAATGTGCGTGAAGTAGGGGGTGGGGAACGAGGTGGTCTACCGAGTCTCCTTTGCTGTCAGCCCCACCCCTATGGCAGCAACAGCAGACAAGGATGTGGGTCTCAGCCCTCGAGTTCCCACTCGCGCAGGCCCCCAGCTCACCTTCACGAGGGCATACTCCAGGCGATCTTCGATGGGGCCAGTCCTCCACTCATCGGTCTGCACGGCTGTCTTCCCTCCTTTGCTGTGAGTCTTAATTGAATTAGGACAGAAAGATGGATACAACAGGTCCTTACTGGGCTATGTGGCAGCAAAAACCTATGCCTTATCCTTCTTTATATTGCAGCCCCTAGCAGAGTGTCCAGACTGAATTAAGATCTCCATAAACATTTGAGGGAAGCAAAATCTTTTAGGACTTGAAGGACAGAGTAAGGCTACATGTTTTCTTTCCTAAAAGATAACTTAGGACAAAGATTTCGAGGATAGTCAGAGAAGCTCTACCCACATCCGATGCAAGCTGATAATACTCTCCAACTGTGTGTCGAGGGGCTGCAATGAAGCCAAGTCAGACATTGTCCCGGAGGGGGCACTACAAGGCGCAGGGCTCAGCCCATACTGCCCAGCACTCAGCCATGTCGTACGGGGGTGGACGAGAGAAAGCATGTGCTGAGGGCTGAAGGAGCAGACGATACAGGCTACGCCAGGAACTCTGAGGAAGGAGTGATCACCACAGGCAGGTGAGGAGAGACTTTGAAGCAGCTGACAGGCTCTCCAAAGGGACGGCGTGCAGTGCCCATGGTGCACAGTGAGCTGTAGTATTACCTACGTGTTTCCTCCCTCTCACTGAGGCCACCAGTTGCCCAAGCCGCAAATGCAGGTGTCTTTCTCAAATAGCCTCTCGTTCCTCACATGCACTGGTCACCTAGTCCCAACAATTACACCCCCTCAGTGTTTCTCTCCACCGGCTTCCACTTTCGTATCCAAGCAACTAACTGGCCTCTGCAGCCCAGACTTACCCTGGTCTCCATATGTCCTCTGCACAATAACCAGAAGGACCTTCCAAAATGTAAACTGGTCAAACCCCCTGCTCCCCATGAAGAAATTCACTGAACGACCAGGCTGGTTTTCTCCTGCACCTTCATCTTCTGCGTTCCCTACTAGCTCAGCTGCCCTGAACATGCCGGTTCCTCACACTTCCCATCATCCCTTCACCTCAAGGCCTACACTTCTGTTCACCTGACACGTTATTCAGCACCAACCACAAAACCAGGCCCCAGCTAGATGCAAACACGCATCCCCTGGCAGGGACCACAGCTCCACCTCCAGCACCAAACCTCAGCCTGGCTAAGCCCCGGGCAGCATCAGGTCTCACTTGACCTCCTCCTCCCTAGGCTTGGTGTCCCTCCTAAGCATTCTCCTAGCATCCTATCCATGCTGTCCGCACTTGCCACACTGCGCTCCAACGGCCTCTATACGTCCCTGCATGGCTCCTGGAACTATGGGCTCTGGAGGGGCACATCCCTCTTACTACTGAGATCCTCTAAGTCAGCACAAAGCAGGAGCTCAGTCAGCATTCACTGAATCAAACAATGCTGAACAGAAACGGGCTTTTCTGGAGCAACGTTTGTGCAGGACAGTAGAGGCCAAGTCACAGAGCACCAGGAACCCAGGCTATAAAGTTTGGATTTAACCTTCCAGGCAACTGTGGGGCCAAGGGTGGGGAGACGACACAATTCAAAGCTCTGAAGCGGCAGAATTCCATTCAAAGCAGTCTTTTAAAAAGAACCCCAGAAAGAGGAAATGTTTTAATAATCCATGATAAAGGCCCGGACTACAGTGGTGGTAACAGGAAGGAAAAAAGGGACTAACATAAAAGCATTAAAGTAACGGACAGTGTGTAAGAGAAGAAGGAGTTGGGGACAACTCCAAGATTCAGGGCTGGGGTGGTAACTAAAATAATGACGACACCGGGCTTTCTCATACATGGGAAGACCAATGCCTCTCTTACACACAAAAACCTAAGGAAGGTGGTGATTAAAAACTAATTATTTGTAACATTATTCACAACAGCCAAGACATGCAAGTGTCCACCGACAGACTGGATAAATAAGACACGGTACAAATACACAATGGAGTATTACACAATGAGAAAAAACCCTGCCATCTGCGACAACACGGGTGGACATCAAGGGCATTATGCTAAGTGAAATAGGTCAGAAAAAGACAATCACGGTATAATCTCACTTATATGCCAGAGGTGGAGGTGGGACAGGTGAAATGACTGAAGGGGGTAAAAGGTACAAACTTCAGCTATGAAGTGCCCTAGGGATGTACGTACAGCACAGCGACTAGTTAATAACATCATATTGAATTTTTAAAAGTTGTTAAAAGAGAGTAGATATTGAAAGATCTCAAGAAAAACAAATTTGTAAGTATGTGTGGTGAAAAGTTGTTAACTAGAATCATTATGGTGATCATTTTGCAATATATAGAAACATCAAGTCATTATGCTATACACCTGAAATTAATATAATGTTATATGTCAATTATATCTCAATAAAAAAAAAAATCAAAACTAAAGGCCCTGGCTGGATAGCTTGGTTGGTTAGAGCGTCATCCTGATACGCCAAGGTTGTGGGTTCAATCCCCTGTCAGGGCACATATAAGAATCAACCAATGATGCATAACTAAGTGGAACAACAAATCGATGTTTTTTCTCTCTCTCCTTCCCTCCATCCCTCCTTCTCTCCAAAATAAATACATAAAAATTAAAACAAAAAACAAAAAACTAAAAAATAAAAATCACAAAAAATTAGAAAATTCATAGGTTCTATACTCTGGCCGTTATTGAAGAGG